TTTTTTTTTTTTTGGTGCTGAGGATGGAACCCAGGGCCTTGTGCATGCAAGGCAAGTACTCTACCAACTGAGCTATATCCCCAGCCCTGCCATGCTCTTTTTATAAGACTGAAAACTTAGAATAAGGAGCATATATTGAGCATTTTCCATGAATCATTTTGTTGTGCTAAGTGCTCCTCAAGCCTTGATTTTATCTTTTCAAGTAGATTCCATTATTGTTTCATTCTATAAGGGAAAAAAGAAATAGAGACACAGAAAGATTAGCAATTTGTCCAAAGCAATATCTTTAGTGTGTCAAGGGGACAGATGTATAAAGGACAGCAGTAACACAATGTGATAGACTTCAAAATACAAACAATGGTTCATTCTGGGTTTTGGTACCAAAAAAAGAAAAGAAGAATATAAGCAATAATAGGTAGGCAATTCAAACATATTATGGTCATTTTACATGACATGTATTTAGCTGCTTAAAGCACGAAGCATAGTAGGCACTTAAAATGTTTATTATTAAATATGATCATTATTATTAGAACCTTAATTTTTTTTCAATATTTATTTTTTAGTTCTCGGCGGACACAACATCTTTGTTGATATGTGGTGCTGAGGATGGAACCTGGCCACATGCAAGCCAGGCGAGCACTACCGCTTGAGCCACATCCCCAGCCCCAGAACCTTAAATTTTAATGGGCCCAAGATTGCCTGGGGATCTTATTAAAATGCAGATCCTGAGGGCTGATAGTCTACAGTCCAGCTTTAGTGGTAGAAAGATTGCTTAACATCTGTGAGGTCTGGAGTTGGAGACCAAACACAGGAAAAAAAAAATTTTTTTTAAGTGAATCCTAAATAGCAAGTCTGGCAGGCCTGAGATTCTGCATGTCTCCTAAATTGTTAGCTCCTAGGTGATATCCATGCTGACCCAAAAATCAGAGTAGTGCTAGATATAGCTCAGTTGATAGAGTGCTTGCCTTACATGCACAAGGCTCTGGGTTCAATCCCCAGCTCCACATTAAATAAATAAATAGATAGACAGATGGCATGGTGCAAGGGAAGAATCCCAAATGTAGAAAAACAAATCACAGAACCCCAGTGACTGCAATGGTAGAAAACAACTGGCAGAGTAGTAGAAGGGTGGTGGTGGTGGTGGTGGTGGTGGCGGTGGTGGGGAGGACAGGAATTCTATCCCCAGCTATAAAGAAAAAGAAAAAGAAAAGGACTGGCAGGCAAGAGGGTACCTTGTAAACAGTGTTGGGCGGTGACTTCAAATGAATACTTCCCTTTTCTTAATTTCCTTCAATTTGACTCCACACATTTATGGAGTACCTCAGCACCAGCCACTATGAGAACAGAAATTAGAGAAATCCAGTGGTTTCCTCAAGGATGTTTTTTTGTTGTTGTTGTTGTTTTGTTTTGTTTTTTGGGGTTTTATTTATTTATTTATTTTTTATTGTTGGTTGTTCAAAACATTACATAGTTCTTGATATATCATATTTCACATTTTGATTCAAGTGGGTTATGAACTCCCATTTTTACCCCGTATACAGCTTGCAGAATCACATCAGTTACATGTTTTTGTTTTTGTTGGTACTGGGTATTGAGTACAGGGGTCCCTAACCACTGAACAACATCCCCAGCCCTTTTTTTTAAAGATATTTTTAGGCTGGGGATGTGGCTCAAGCGGTAGGGCGCTCGACTGGCATGTGTGCGGCCCCGGTTCGATCCTCAGCACCACATACCAACAAAGATGTTGTGTCCGCCGAGAACTAAAAAATAAATATTAAAAATTCTCTCTCTCTATCTCTCTCTCTCTCCTCTCTCTTAAAAAAAAAAGATATTTTTAGTTATACATGGACACAATATCTTTATTTTGTTTATTTATTTTTATGTGGTACTGAGAATCAAACCCAGTGCCTCACATGTAAGAGGCAAGTGCTCTGCCACTGAGCTACAGCCCCAGCTCCTTTAAAATTTTTTTTAAAATTTTTTGGGTACCAGGGATTGAACCCAGGGGTGCTTAACCATTGAGCTACATACCCACCCCTTTTTAACATTTTTAGAGAGAGGGTTTTGCTGAGTTGCTTAGGGTTTAAGTTTTTTTTTGTTTTTTTTTTTTAAGAAAGAGAGAATTTTTTAATATTTATTTATTTATTTTTTTTAGTTTTCAACAGACACAACATCTTTGTTTGTATGTGGTGCTGAGGATCGAACCCAGGCCACATGCATGCGAGAGGAGAGGTGAGCGTGCTACTGCTTGAGCCACATCCCCAGCCCAGGGCTTAGGTTTGTGAGGCTGCTTTGAACTTGAAATTCTCCTGCTTCAGCCTCCCAAGATGCTGGGATTACATGCATGCACCATCAGGCCCAGCCTATTTTTTATTTGAGACAGGTTCTCACCAAGTTGCTTAGGGCCTCCCTAAATTGACAAGACTGGCCTTGAACTTGTGATCTTCTTGTCTCAACCTCCAGAGTAGCTGGGATAACAGGTTTGTACCACCCTGTGTACACTCTGAAAGCACCCTGCTTCTTGGCATCTGTTAATAATTTCCAATGTGCCAGGTGTGGTGGCACACACCTGTAATCCCAGGGACCCCTGAGCCTCACAGGAGGATCACAAGTTTGAGGACAGTCTTGGTAACTTACAGAGATCCTGTCTCAAAATAAATATAGCTGGAAAAGTTGCTCAGGGCCCATGGGTTCAATTCCTAGTATCAGAAAGTAAAATTTTTGGTCACTTGTGCACGGGATTCATTTGTGCTTGTCTGTCTCCCTGAATGAACTGTGACTCCTCAGAGGCCAGGCACTGCATCTAATTTTGTCACTATGGGCTTAATATAGGTTCAATCAACCCCTATCATGGAATCTGGCTCAGGACAGGTGTCAATATTTGTTGAATGAATAATACATGAATTGAAATGAAGACTGAACACAGATTTGACCTCCGGGCAGAAACCTTCTGTTCCTACCGTTCCAGAAGGGACTTTCAGGCAAGAAGAGAGGAGGTCTGTTGGAGAAGGCCAGTCACTTTTTCTGCCCCATCATCCCTGCAGGATTCTAGTGCTGCCTCCAAGCCCTCAAGCTGGACTCAAGGCTAGATGAAGCTCTTGGGTTTGGGGGTCAGGTCCCAGAATTCAGGTAGCAAACTTTTGTTTTCTCATATGTAAGAGGTGGATCAGGTCAATATTCAGTGGAGGGCAGGGAGGGATCCCTAAGAAGAGAGAACATAGGCTTTGAAGAGTTTGAGAGCCAGGCCTGGTGGCCTCTGCCTGTGATCCCAGAGGCTGAGGCAACAGGATCAAGAATTCAAAGCCAGCCTCAGAAATTTAGTGAGGTCCTAAGCAACTCAGCTAGAACCTATATCTAAATAAAACATAAAAAAAAAAAAAAACGGCTGGGGATGAGGCTCAGTGGTTAAGCGCCCATGGGTTTGATCCCTGGTACCCGACCACACACACACACACACACACAAAAAAAAAAAAAAAAAAAAAAAACCAGAGTTTGAGGGCTGATTGTGTATGGTGGCTCACTCCTGTAATCCCAGCTGCTTGAGAGGCTGAAGAAGGAACACTTTAAGGCAAGGCCAGCTTCAGCAATTTAGAGGCCCAGTCTAAAAGTAAAAATAGGCTGGAGATGTATAGCTCAGTTGCAGAGCACCTCTAGGTTCAATTCCCAGTGTTCATCTGCCAAAAAGAAAAAAAGAAAAGAAAAGAAAAAAAGATGGTTTGAGGGCTACAAATATGCTTACTGTTTCAATAACCTCACTCCCACCTGACCACCGCCAGCCCACACAATCACAGTCCTTCTGAGTAACCTTTGATGGGTCAGATTCCTCTACTGTGCAGGTTCTCAAGTGGTTCCAAGGGAATTCGTTAGAAATGCAAATTCTCAGGCTTCACCTGGGGCCTCCCAGTTCAGACTGGGGGAGGCCCAGCACTTGCCTTAGGCCATGCCCTCCAAAGTTTGGGAGCTGTGGCTTTCCTCCCTGAGGGCCATACCTGCTTGTGGTCGTTCCCACCTCTAGTCCCAGGGCCTGGCGTCGGGTGGGCATGCGATCCTGGCTGAGGGCTGTTCACGCTAAGTCAGCGGTAGAGCACTTTAGCAGGAGTGAGACCCTGGGTGCAATCCTCAGCACCGCAAGAAATAAAGTTTTGTGAATGATTAATAACAAAGGTGATGACACTGAGAGCAAGGAGCCAGGATGGAAGACCTCCTGGAGGCGAAGCTCTCAGCTTTCTGGCAGAATGGGCGCCTTTGAGCAGCCACCCGGGGTCCTTTTACAGACAGTAAAGAGAGGCCAGGCGCCTTACCCAGGGTCC